ATGCTTGGCTGGATCTGCTTAACTGACATGATGCATTTGTCATAGCTCCCTACATGTTTGTTTGAATTAAAAAATCCTGCAGACACTTTCCTTTCTGCTGTTTCCATCAGGTTCTGATTAGTCCATTACAGGTTTTGTATGTTTTACCAGGTTAGCGCGAGACTCACAGGAACCCCCTGATAACTTGTTGTTGTAGTAATGATATTTTTGGTCAGGGTGGTGGCTCTACAAATAAATACATTTATTTGTACAGGACCATGTAATCCTTTGGTAGGAACCATTTGCATATGGTTCTTTGTGTGTGTGTGTGTGTGTGTGTGTGTGTGTGTGTGTGGTACAAGCCATTTAATGCTACATTACATGTATACAGTGTGCTGTAGGTGTGTGTAGAAGCTCTGGGTCGCCAGTGAAAATACTGCCTGGCCTTTTTTAAATTAAGGCTGTAGACCCCAAATTGTGGGATTCTTCTAACTCACTCAGATGATGATGGTAATGAGGAGGATGAATCCACCTTGCCTCTTCTATCCATCAGTGTGCACCATCTGGGTATGAATATGATGTGTCGCTGTGAGCGAGCCAGGCGGCGATTAGCAGTGTCTAAGTGATCCCTCATGAAATGCAGCCTCTCGCTCTTCATGGGCGGGCATGTTAGAGAATTGTGAACTGTGAGAGACAGGTCGGCTGGATCGCTGATTCAAAGGACTCGTTCAGGACCTCCAAAAAGACACGCATACCGATGGTCAGATTTTATTTTGGGGAATATAGTAGCAATAAAGTGCAAGTGAGCCATTTAGAATGATCCGCATGTATGTATAAATTTGTCTTAAAATATGGTCAAGTCTTCATTAATAAGAAGTGACCACACATTATATACTTACATGATTTATTTAAAAATGCCAGTTGTTTGACTCCAGTGTGTCTTCTTCAAGGCAGGTCGAATAAAAGTGTCAGACAAATATTTATTTATGTACTCATGTCTCACAGGTTGATTTTTTTTTTTTCCTCCTTAAAATGAATAGCTATTCATGTTTTTACTTCTCTGCATGTCTTTAATTCTCTTTTAGTTTTGCCTTTGTGGGATTTACCACATGGACAAGTTAAGAGATAAATAACTGATGCCCCTAATAGAAGTAGATTTCACAGCATGGGGGTGTTTCAATGAGGAATGGTGTTAACTTGGAAGCACCTGTGTGAACTGCTGATGTCATTAACTGTGGACTGCTATCAGGCCGTGAGACGTATGTTTGTCCGACACTTGTATTCAACCTGGCTCGAGGAAGGCACGTCAGCATTTTTTAATAAATTATGTGACAGTGACCAGCGCCTGTTTTAGGTGTGCATTCACTCTACTTTACAGTGAGTAAAAAATCTTCATTGTTGCAGTTATTAATCTACTTGAAACCATAACACACAAACCATAGTATCGTTCATCTCCATCCTGAATACATCATTCAAACATTGACAGTGTAGACTGGAAAATGATCACAGATCTCAGAAGGTTTACTCTTAAGAATGATCTTTGTATAAACCTGGAAAGATTTACACCAGCTGAAGCTCAGTAGAAGTTGGGTGATGCAGCCGGAGCGGACCAGAATTCTGCCAGAATGTTGTCCAGAGCTCATCTGTAGCTGGTGGAAGCACCTGTTTGAGGTTATTTCTGCCAGACAAGGTTCAACCAGTTATTAAATTCAAAAGCTCACCTGCTTTTCCACTAGCATTGTGAATATTTATTGGGTGTGTTCAGTAAAGACAGTCTTTTGTGCAGTTTTAGCCAAAACAAACTGTATTGGTCTACATGTGTGACTTAGACGAAGGTCAGATTACATTGTATGATACATTGAAACCAGACAATTCAAAATGGCGTACTCACTTTTTTGCCACTATAATTCAGCTTTTTGTTGAATTGGAGCACTAACTAAATACTGGCATATTGTTGTCACACCTGCGGGTCATAAAACTCTAAGTTGAAATAGATATCTGATATTTTTGCTTTGCTTTTACCTTTTTAATGATTAAACCAAAGATTACATTTGGCTATGAGAATTGAAGCGTTGATGTTATGACGCTCATGTCAGCCTTGACGCTGCCGAGCAGGAAGGCGTGTGCAAGGTTCATTCATTTGGCTGCTGGTCGGTGTTTAGCGTGTGATGTCATCAGTAAATCAAGAGCTCAGGCGTACTGGGAGGAACTGTTGCATGGCGACCAGTTGCCATAGAAATGTTCCCGTTGTGGAAAAGTTGAGAGACAGTTTGGCAGAAACATGGCATGCTGAAGGAGGAGAAGGATGATTTCCCACCAGGGGAAGCTGGTCTGTTCCACTGGATCCATTCATGGCCTGCCTTTTCCTATCATTTTGTTTAATGTCTTCTGTGTATTCAGTCTTCATACATGCTTTCTTACATGTATGTGCAGGCTTCCAGGTGTTGCAGATAGGGAGACACTAGTCGGGTCACACACATTCAGCCTGTAACGCGCTCGGCTCCTAACAGGCACACTGTGGTGAATAATCTGTTGTTCTTTTTTCCCTGCGCTGTCACCAGGCTGTTAGTCTGCTGTGCTGACTCACTGAGACAGTTAACCAGCGATTTAAAAGCCAAGGGTGAACCAGAGCAGCATCATGACGGCCACTCCGCTGTCTGTGTTCAGCAGACCATGAAGATTTATAACTTCCTGACATTGTGTGTTTGCACTGCTGTACTTGCATGGGCCAAATATCTTGAATTTAAACATCGGTGTATCCTGAGACGAGTTATAAGTGTGCTAGTGAAGCTTTAAATGTAAGGGTTACATTTCAGCTTGGTCTTAAGTTAGGCTCATATATGAGATTAATTGTGTGTTTAAATGTGCATATGTCAGTGCAGGGTGTGTGATGGAAAAGATGCAACACAGTGGTCTAATGGAGGCGGTCTATCTGCTCAGGGTACCGTTCATCCTTTATGTTGACTCTGCTGTTCAGCAGTTTGGGGTGCAGAGACAGGAGAGGATGAATGGAGGAGCCAAGCCAGCAGCCGGTGGTGCTGTTAAGTGGAGTCGTGCAACAGTTTTAAAAGCTCATACAGACACAATTAAAGGAAACACTTGGATTAAGCCATTTTGTGCCTCCAAACACCAGAAATGACGAGCTGTCTTTCTTAATTTTGTTCTTGTAAGGGTAGAATGTGTTTGAAACAGCATCTGAAATCGAGTTTAGAGGCTTTAGGTAGAGAGAGACAGGAGTTTTTGAGTTGGATTTCCCTAAAGATGTATAAAATCCTCCTACACCATTCTGCATTGATTTCTCAGAGTAACCATTTGATAACAAGTAAAACATATCCAGCTGTGGGCGGACAACAATGACTGTCTGACATGTGATTTTTAATTAAAGACCAACACAATATATCATTTTAACTGCCCTCGAGGGTATATGTCGCATCTGCTCCAGATTATCCTTCATCTGATCTGTGAGCAGCTCTGCGGCACTAGAGGATTATCATGCCTCGATGCATCTGCTGATGCCATCACAAGCTCTGGATCCCCCTTCACTCTTGCAGGGTCCTTCTGACAGATTATCTTCTTGTTTCTTTGTTATTCAGCTGGTATTCTGTTGCTGTTGGGTGGAACTGACAGGACAAGGTCAGGGCGATGCTTCCGGAATGAGCTAACTTCATCACAGTGACAGTGGTTTCTTGTTCACTGCAAATCAAATGTGGTCTATACTGAGTTGCGATTCATTAATAAGATTAAGAGCCGACTTCAGAATGACTCAACAGTTCAAATACTTATTTACTAATGATTCAGTTTATTTTAGTATGCCAATGAGTACAGTGTTGCGTCAGAGAGCTGCAATCAGTCACCACAGGACTGGAATGAATCTGTACCTGTGTGGCTCAGTCGTCGCATTGCTCAGTCAGCCGAGTGTGTTTACCCATATTGCCCCAAGACGGTGGCATTGGCTCACCCTGTGGCCCCTGCTGTTGACGTACCCATTCCCTACATGAGTGCAGTTAGGGCTATAAAAAGAATTAGCAGACAAAGGAACTTGTCAACACATGATAACTCCCTCTGTGGTTTGAATTTACAGTGCAGACAGATTTGATGAAACCTAGACCAGGAGGAGGAGTCCCTCTTTTGTCTACTGTCTGGTTATATTAACTCACTGTAAGGATATTACCTGTCTAGCTGTCTGCACATAGAGCTCTGTCAATTCCCACTGAAGAATTTTTCTTGTATCATATAGTGAATAGTTGTAGTTGCATTAAAATCTCCTGTCAGTCATATCTGCTGCTACTCGAGAGGGGGTCCACCTGGGTATTGGCTGTGTGGATAAATGTGTTAATATAAACCAACCAATCTGGAACAAGGGCTGTAACTTTGTAATTTGTCTTTCTACAGTATGCCGCCTTGTTTGCAACCATATGCTCTGGCTTTTAGTTTGAGAAGACATCAGCTCACTTACGTGAACAAACTACCTGTTCGCTCATTAGCCAGCAAGCTAATTTAACAAACCACTAAAGTCAGTTGTGACTGCAGAAAGCCACCATTATCATTTCTGTTTTCTTCTAGTTGTACATAAAATGCTATGAAAATCAGATGTTAGTTGAACAGAAGTTAGGTCTGAATGACTTGTAACCTTTTAACATGCACAGTGTTCATAGCTTGCTTGATTTAAGCTAACAGTCCTGCTTATAAGTAGCTGCTGAAAGAAGCATTTTTGTAGTTTGTGTGTGTGTGTGTGTGTGTGTGTGTGTGTGCGCTTTGCACATAGATACACGTGTCTGTGTTGTTGGTGTACAGCTTGTGAATCATTCAAACATTGATTCATGTGTAAAAAGAAATGCCTTTTAATTTCCAAGGCCTTGAAGTACACTGAAGCATTTGAAGTGTGTTTAACCCAGGAGTCCCTTTTCCATCAAAGACACCACTAGGTTTTCCTGTGAGTCACAGTGTGATGTCTTCAGAAGGTG